GGATGGATGGATGAATGCAAAAACTGAACAAAGGCACCAGCAAACACTGCCAGCTGTGGGCAGGTGCCTCAGCATCACCAGGAAGCACCTGGAAGGCTCACGGGGTGGGAAGCCTTTTCTGGGAGAGGCAGAGCCCACTCTGGAGGAGTCGGCTTGGGCCAGCTCAGAGCTACGCAGCGGGGCAGGGCAGCCAAGACTGAGTGAATAAGAGCAAACTCAACCCAGAGAAGGTGGCCTGGAAAGTCAAGTAAGAGAAATGCTAAGAGGAATTAGCACCTCATCCTAACCCACTCAGGACAGAGTGGCCCTGAGGACCCCTGGCTGAATAACAGGTGAGCAAAGAGGGGTAGCAGAGGAGCAACAGTGGATTCCAGGCCAGACACACCAGATTGGTGTCCTGCCTGTCCCTTGAACTCCGGGGACCATCAGCAAGTCCTTTTTCCTCTCTACCCCCAGCTTCTGTTTCCTATGATGGGCATAACATACCTCCTGAGTATTATATCCCCGAGAGCTAAGTGGCCTAAGGTGCAGGAACTACTTCTCACCCTACCAGGTACAAACGCATATGAGAGTAGGAGGGTGGTTTATTTTTCTTTTTTTCCTTTTGTTTTTATAGGTACCACATTGAACCCAGAAGCACTTAACCACTGAGCCACATCCCCAGCCCCCCTCCCCTTTTTGAGACAAGGTCTTACTAAGTTGCTCAGGGCCTTGTTAAATTGCGGAGGCTGGCCTTGAACCTGTGATTCTCCTGCCTCAGTCTCCTGAGTCCCTGGGATTACAGGCATGAGCCACAGCACCCAGCTGCAGTTCATTTTTCTAAACAGCCTGATTTACTCTTAAATCACATTGCTGCTTGGATTTCCATGGTATTTAAGAAATTAAGATTGTATGTGTGGTCAATAAAGAAATATTATTTGTCCATAAAAGATGCAATAGCCCTGTCTCTCTAGGCTTGAGATAAGGCCAACTGTAGGTGGGACATCATCCTGAAGGACTCCCCAGGGCACAGGGATGGGAGGAAGGGAGTTCCCAGACTCCAAGGATTCTCTTTGTCTCCTTTACTCTAGAACAGAGACAGAAAATTGTGTAGAAAGCCCTCCCCTGATCATTTATTTTGAATTATGTTGTATGCTGCTTGTCTACTGGGATCCTGCCTCCAAATTTCCCTAAATATGGAAAATATACACAAAGTGTTTAACATTTTTAAGGTTTTCTGAGCTTCCAATGATAACTATCAACAAACACTGGCTTAAAATTCACCCTGTGTCATGCTGCATATTTTTTTTCCATGTGAAACCAAATGGAGAGAAGTTTTTTAAACAATCTGAACTTATATCCTGCTTTAAATTCATGCCATGAGACTTAAACAAAATTGAATCCTTTACCTACTCCCTCACTATGAAAACACTGTTTATTTTTCCTTCAAACAGACCGTATACTAGGATAAAACAAATGTCCTTCTCTCTTGAGATGCGAATGTGGAACTTTTATGTTTTTTCCTGGCCAAACGTCCAACAGCCAAACATTTAACGCAATGACTGATATGTCGCCTTTGCCTGAAAACAAACAAACAAACAAAAACCCAGAACACAACAACAAAACAACCAAAATCATTTTGCTTCTCATCAAGCAACCTCAAGAATTTGGACTCTAGGCCTGATTTGGTAGGGTGACCTTGGGTCCCTCCACCTCTCTGTTCTTGGTCTCTGTTCAGTGAACTGGAGGGCGGGGCTGTTGGAGGGAGAAGAACTGATCTGAAGTTCATCCAAACCCTAAAATCCCATGACTCCAGATCAAAACACGGGTAAACAATGGCAAGACATTTGTTCTGAAAAAAATATTACAGTATTGACTCAAAACACAGGTCCCTCGAGGTTTTCTCTGTAATGTCCTCCTCAAACAAACACGCCCATGGACCACGGCCCACCTGGGGGTGTCCATCCTGTTTCTGGACCTTTAGTACAGTCACATCCCCACCTGCTGGAGCTTGAGGTTTTTGCGCTAAAAGTGTCAGCGGAGGCATTGCTGAAGGCTCCCCATCCCTGGGCAGAGGCTGGGTTTCCAGGCAGCCTGGACAGCGGCTCCTGAACAGCACTGGCTCTTGGAGGAGGCGCCTGTCTGTCTGCTGCAGACAACATCCTTCCCATCCTGTAGGCTCTATCATGGGCCTGCCCAGGGCCCAGGGAATGACTAAGCGAGTCTCAGAAGTGGGCACCGGGTTTGTCAGAATTTCCGCACTTCTCTGAAAGATGAGCCTTGGGCTTCTCCTCGGAGCCCGGCTCTCAGGGATATAGTTAACACCTCTGGGACAGGACCCGAGTGCCCTGGAGTCAGCAGGAGTCTGAATATAGCTTGGGTTTGGGGTGGCCGGCAGCAGGGTAGGAAGTGGAGGCCGTGGGAAGGCACAGGTCAGGGGACAGGCACAGGCCTCAGCCCTGAACCTACCACTGCAACGTTCCACTCCATCTGGGGCCCTTCCATGGGCACCTAGTGAAGGGTTATGGAAAATAATATCCCCACAAGACAGCTCCCCAGGAAAAACGGAGGGACAGTGTGACTCGGGGGGGAGGGAGGGAAATCAGCCAAACTTTCAACCTCTCCCAGAACATCCTTTCCCAGTAATGATGGGCCCTGAGGGGAAAAGCAAACTCCATCCCTTCCCAGGTTCATCCCAGCATCTCCACCAAAAGCAAACACTCACCCCTTCCTGACCACAATGGGTCCTGCAGGGAGGAGGCCAGTACCAAAACCCTGGGCCCTGGACTTTTACCCTTTCCCATTGTAGAAGAGTCCTGCAGGGAGAAAAGCAAATGGTGGAGCTCTAGGTCACAGTGGGTCCCAGAGGGAGATGATGAGCAGGGAGCACCGAGGTGTGAGCCTTTCCCAGCGACAAGGAGTTTCAAACTTTCTACAACTGCCGTCCTGACTTAAAACCTTAACCTGCACAGCCAGGTCCCGGACTGTCCAAACGGCAGGTCCACAGTCTCCAATGAGTAATTCGCCCTCATCGTCAACTCCTGTAACCCAAGGGCCCATCTCCATTCCCAGAAAATGAGCCTCCCGGACCGAAGGGCTGACTTCACTGCAGAATAAAGGAAGCTCGCTGCCCCAAGGTTGGCTTCCTGTCGCCTGCTTCCGCCATCGCTAGACCTAGACTGAGTAGTGAGGGAGGGAATCACTAGGGATTTTCTGGGGCTCACCCCCACTCTCCAAGACCCCACTGTCCAGGACCAGGGCCTGCACCCTTGTCCCTGAACACCCAGGCACTCGGTTCTCGGCTGTCCCTGCCTACCGATATGGGACTCAGGCCTCCTCTCTGAGCCCCTCATAAGGGGAAGACAGGTAATGGCCTTCCGGTTTTGGTGTCAGTGACTCCTATGTGTCTCCGTGCTCCTCCGGGTGTTGTGAACAGCTTCCTGTCAATGGACTGGCTCTGCCGAGGCCCTCACTTTCCTGTTCCACCCCCCCAGGAGGCCGTCTGGGGGTCTTGGAAGGGAAAGCTTGGAGCTTTGGGTCTGAGCTCTGGACTCCAGTCGGGGTGTAGTCTCTTCAAGGCAGGAAAGAAAGCCTCAGTCCCCGGGGAGGGGCATCCAGATTGACATCGGCCTCTGGCTGTGCGGTCTGCAGACCCCAGGGCCAAGTGAATGGGGGCCCTTCCCCAGGCCTCCCACCCATCCCCAGGGGGCCCTGGGCTCCCACCTCCCCACTCTATGCCCTGCCTCGAGCCCAGCCAGCTTGGCCACAGAAGCCAGGTAGACAGTGACCGCAGCATGCTTCATACCCACGGTCCCTGGCTCACTCTGACCCCCGTCTCTTCTCTAGTCAGCAGGAAGAACAGCAGCCAGAGAGGCCCTGACCAGACCCTCCGGTATGTGGCAGCGTTTCTGATCTCCCTCTCAAAGGTCATCTTTCCCCACAGTCCCTCCCTTCCTGCCCGAGCTGTCAGAGCTGTTTATTTCTGAGAGCTAAATGCCACCATCTCCACAGCTACCTTGGCAGGGTTCTGTCAGAAACAGCCCAGCAGCCCAAGAACACGTTCATGCCCAGCCTCTTAGGGGGGCCCTCGGTCTAGGCCAGCCTGTGACTCTGCAGTGGCTCTTTCCCCTGGGTCCACAGAACGGAGCCCTCAGGCACCCCTCCTAGGCCCAGGCCTCCCAGGGCCAAGCCGGGAATGCGATGCCCAAGGAGGCGATAATGGGCTCACGCCCTCACGCGGTTCGGAGCCAGCAGTACGACGTGCTGGTTGCTCTGTTTTTGTTTAAAACTTGGCCGGGAGACTCTCTTCATTCTTGTCTGGCAATCTTTCCGAGATTCTACACGTACACCCTGGAAGAGAGCGGCACAGCCAGATAAGGTGGCACCCCCTGTGCCCGCTGCAGGGAGACCAGAGCATCTGGGTGGTCGGCCAGATAACAGTGTCTCCAACCTCACCACCCTCTTCAGTGGCAAAGGAGGAAAACAGGAGATTCCGCTTGGCTTCTGTGTTCTTCCCTATGTAATACCCCATTTTTCGTAAGGTCAGTGACTGAGTTTTGGCAAGCGTCTCTGATGATTTTAGGAAGGAGGTCTGAATTGGTGCATGGGAAGGAATGATGATAATGGCGCATCCCGGGTCCTAACCAGGTGAAGAACTTCACATAGATCGACTCCTTTAACTCTCACCTTGACCCTAGGAGGCAAGGACTCTTCTTGTCCCCATTCTGTAGATGAGAATACTGAGGCACTGAGATCATACACAGCCAGCTCCAGAGGCCGCCAGCGGGGAGCCTCCAGATTCACCCACACAAGCACAGGTTGTTACCACCTCCAGAAACAGCCTCCGCCCCTGAGCTCTGTCAATATCTTGCTGGACCAGCAGGGCCCCCAGAAGGGAGGGAGCCTCTTTGACACTTGACCGCAGCATGTGGTTCTAGTCCCTGGTCCCCGACCTCATGGTGATGGGCACGAGCTCCACCCCTGTGGGCACAGCACCCAGTGACCCGGGAGGACTTGCTTACTGGTATCCCCGGCTCGGTCTCCTCGCTCCCCTTTCTCTCCTTTCGGGCCTCGGTCACCTGAAACAGGAGGAAGACGGGTGTTAGGAATAGAAACAAACTCGAATTGTTAAGAAAACAAAAATATCTGCAGAGTTATTAACTCAATACTGAAGAAAACCACAGGCAGGAGCCACCAGCAACGAGAGAACACAGCAGGGGAGACAGGAGCTCTGCCATTAGGGCCACCTGCTCTGGTCACCCCAGGAAAGAGTGGTCTGGCTGAGGGTGTCCCGTTCCCTCCTAGGTACAGCACAGACGGTGAGCATCCAGCACACAAACTCAAAACAACTCATTATTGCACAGAGAAGGCCACACAGACATCTGTGGAACAGTCAGGGGTTCCGGAGTTCACATCTGAGCTCCTCTAATGAGCACAGGGGAGGAGGAGAGGTGGGCTTCAGGGACATACAGGTCGTTTGTGTCTCAGGAAGATTTTCTGGTGGGAGAGATTAAAACACGGGCAAGAGTTTCCAGGGAATTTTGAAATTCCCTTCACAGGATATGGTTAAAAGAGAAGAGTTCTTTTCCCAGCGGGCACCTCACTCTACAGAGAAGTTCGAAAGCCTTGGCACCACTCAAAGGGCATGAGAATACCCAGGGGATCCTATTTCCAGGCTCTCCAGAAAAATATCTGCCAATCAAAGCTCACAGCTTACTGTGAATGAAAAGAGCAAGTCAAAGTCCAAGTTTTATTAAAAAAAAAAAAAAAAAAAACAAAGGCAACGATATATATGTAAGTACTCAGAGAAAGGTCGGGCAGGATGTGTTCCAAAGAGTTCACGGTGGTCATTGTAAAGAATAATAGCTGAACCCCCCGGGGAAGAGGGGTTCTTGCTCTTTATCCTTGGAACACATCAGTCTTATCTAATTTTTTTTTTCAACAAGGATATATCGGTCTTATAATCTGTTTTTAAATGAATTTTTAAATGGGGATCATAAAAGAAAGGAAAACCCTCAGCCGGTTTCACCACCAACTGGAGAGTAGACTAAGACTTGCCAGTGTTCCAAGATGAAGAGACCATCCCAGACGAGGGCGTGGGAATGATTCTTAATACTGTTTTCTGAGCTATTGCAACCAGTGACGAACAGAAAACTTGGGAAAAGAGCAACGGACGTCCTCATCTTTTGCAGCGCCGACAAGAGGTCTGGCGATCTTAAAAGCAAATGGAAAGACATGGGCTGACTCTCAAGGACGTTCCCCTAAAACTGAACAAGGGAAGTGAACATAGGAAGAAAAACACTTGGAGGAAACACCGGCCGGGTAAATCTGAGAAGGGAATTAAGTTGAAAATACTGGGAAACACAGAGCGTTGCAGAACACGGGGAAGCCCGCAGCACTGGCCAGGAGGGGCTGTCGGGCCTGCAGCCTGTCTGTCCTGCAGCCCCCACGGGCCTCCTCTGCTTTCAGCTCTGGGCGGCACCTTAGTAAAGGCCCCTCACACCTCCGCAGCATTTCCACACCCACACCTGCTCTATTGGCACGATGGCCTACGAGATGGCAGGCAGCATGAGAATTCCTGGTTTTCAGATAAAAACTGAGGCTTAATGAGATTGAGGCACTTGCCCAAGAGTGTTCAGCTGGACAGAGGCTGGATGAGACCCCTGGTCCACCCCTCCAACCTCCCATGCTGCCTGGGGCACTGAGATTCGTTATTACCTTTGAACCCGCGCATGCCCATTGGGCCTGTGGCCCCCAGCTTCCCATCATCGCCCTTGGGGCCAGGCAGTCCTGGGGTACCCCTCTCCCCTGGAAGACCTGGGGAGAGAAGAGACAATGGCAAAGCTTCAGAATCAGAAGTCCTTAGAGGTCATTGTCTGGTTCAACAGTCTAACACAACCGCGATCCTCCGAAGCTGAGTCTCAAAGATGTTACAAAAGCAGCGTCTAACAGGTCAGCGTGGACCTTCCCCGTGAGCCCTTTTACCAGTTAGCCTTGGATGCCTCCCAACTGAAAGGCCCGGTTCTGTTGTGAGTGCTGGTGGTGCCAGCCCCACTTAGCAAGTCTCTCTACTTAGGCTTGCCGGAGGTTTCGAGTCAGCCAACACTTTTTGGGAACACTTTCTGTGTGCCGGGCATAAAGTATCTCACTTACTCCTCACAACAGACTGGGAGGCATTATCTCACCTGTACTACAGATGAGCGACCGCCCTGGCAGGTTAAGTAACCTACCTACCCAAGGGCACTCCATGGAGAGGGCAGAGGCAAGACCTGAGCTGGGCTCTTCCTGGTTGGTGAGCCTCACCTCAGGCTGGATCCAAGGGGCTTACTGGCACTCAGAGGGGTATGGCATTGGCCATTAGGAGGAAGAGGAAGCAGTGTCCCATCCCATTTAAAGAAAGAACAGAAGATCCCTTCCTTTCCATAACTACAGGCGGTATCGGAAAGGCGCTGGAGCTGAGGATGGAGGGGATCAGCAAGGTCAATAAATGGGACGCACGGCCTGCCGCCCAGTCAGCCCTGGGCTCCCGGCCACGAGGCCCCATGGCCACCGCCTGCACTGATTGCACCACGGAGAGCCAGAATCAACAAACGCCCTCACCAAGTGAGAGCCCAGGGCCCCCAGGAGGCCTGACCTAAGCCCACAGTAATCCCTGCAAAGCAGAGCCCCCTTAACTAACTGACTAATTGTTCCTTCCTGCCCGGAAAGCTAGCTGGTTTCACAAGAAACCTGTCTCCCAGCAATTACTCCCCCAACACTAGTGTCAAATGGCTGGAAGGGGACGGGTGGCCTCCAGAGGGTGGGAGGACCACGGAGAAGGCTGATGGAATTTCCTTCTCTCCCCTCCTGACACCGCGTATCTGTTCCCAGAGTCCGATGGCCACAAAATTCTGACTCTAAGTGCAGGCTGTGCCCAAAGCTCCCCACCCTATGATTCATTAGGCAGAAAAGGTGGCTGCAGAGCCTGGGGAGCCCCGGGCACCCTCGATTCGGTTTCCAGAGCTCTGTTGAGAGGGGAGGCCAGCACGGAGGCCCGGCTGGGGCTTCCTCCTTCCAACCCCTGGCTCTGCTGCATTGGCAACATGCTTGCAGATTTAAGAGATATAATTCCTAAAACAAATAACCGGGCCCTCTCCCCTATACCTCCTTTCCTTCCATCATTTTGAAATCTTGACCCTGTCCTGGAAAAACGTTGTGTGCTGCATGGCTCAAGAACACACCGTTGTGAAGTTTGAGGAACTAACTTCTTAGACTTTTGAGAGGATGAGTCTAAGAAGAGTCTTCCTGGAAGGCCTCAGAGTACCCTGCCCACCACCTGAGGTCTGCAGGGCTGGCCCTATGTGCAGCAAGATGGAGGGGCAGGTGCTCCCGACACATCCGTGAGCCTGGGCAGTTTCAGCAGGAGGCAAGGTGGGGCAGGGGCAGCTGGCGCCTAGTGGGAACATGGAGGGGCAGAGCATATGGGAGGGCTGGTCTGGAGGCCCTGGCCACGTGGACCCTGACTCCTGGGTGGAGCCATGGGCCTCTCCTGTACTCCTTCCTAAGAAGAGGGGTTTGCTCCATCCTCTGTCTACACCAACAGCCTCCGCTGACAGAACAGAGCACTGGAAGCCACGCCGGGGGCACCGTCCAGGGAGCGCCATCATCTACCTCATTGAGAAAGGAGAGGCAGGATGGACTCGTGGGTACCCAGGTCCCTCCCAGGACAACCCTGTTACCTCGAAGTCCAGGTAGTCCAGGGCTGCCAGGCTTGCCTTCCTTTCCTTCATCCCCCTGTTCACCCTTGGGTCCAGGTGGCCCTGAAAGGTGAAGAGAGCACTTAGGTGAGAAGGTGCTTTTTGGAACAGGGCCAGGACATCTGCAGAGGAAGCGAGAACCTCGGAGGCCGAGAGGGTCAGCCTTACGTGTTAGAAGCACATGGGACACTACCTAGCTCTGTCTTGGGGACATCAGGAAAGGCTCCCTGGAAGAAGCAGCACCCACAGTGACACCTCACAGGAGCCAGTGAGGGGTGTTGGGGACTGAACACTCGTGTCCCTCCTGATCTGTATGCTGACGTCCCCCCCACAGTGGATGGTTTTAGGAGGTGGGCCTTTGGGAAGGGATTAGGATCAGAGGAGGTCATGAGGGTGGGGCCCTCACGATGGGATGAGCGGCTTTATAAGAAGAGACACCAGCACTAGCACTCAGCAGGCTTCCCCCCAGCCCCCAGCGTATACAAGTGCTCTCTGCCAGGGGAGACTACGGTAGGAAGGTGGCTGTCTGCAGGCCAGGAGGACAGCCCTCACCTGGACCCAGCCATGCTGGCCCTCATCCCCACTGCCAGCCTCCAGCTGTGAGCAAGAAAAGCCTGTGGTCTGAGCCCCCAGTCTGTGGTATGTCGCGATGGTGACCTGGGATGACTAATGGCAGCAAAGGGAGAGGTCCCGGCAGAGGGGCTGTCCTTCCAGGGGCTTAGCCTATTTGTCCCAGTGTCCCAGACATCATATTCACCCAATGACCTATTAATGTAGGTTCATGTATGTAAAAGATACTCCATTGGCCTAATGTCCTATTTATAAGACAATCTATTTGCATTCTTAACAATAATAAAGGACATATAAGCTCTTGGTTAGGATTTCTAACCTACTTGAATGCACCTGTGTGAATTCTGTTGAAATATTCCCAGAATTGAAAACTTGGGACTTTGTGGGTGGGGAGGACAGTGCTGTGTAAGCCTGGGGGGGATAAGCAGCTGGGGTCACAGCAGGTGGGGAAATGGGTTTCTCGCAGGCCTGGCCCGAGTGCCAGACTGGAGCCTGATGGAGTGTCCCAGAAGTCCCAGGAGGGGCCTGGGAGAAGAGCCCTGTGGGACCTGCACAGGAGGAAGGTTCAGGCTGCTGTGTGGGGAAGGGACGGGGGGTAGGCAGATGTGGAGGCTGCAATCCACCTGGGGTGGGGGGCTGGAGCCCAGGTAGGGAAGTGGCATCAGAGGGACCCTGTTTAGAATGTAGAGACAGACCCTGGCTCTGGCTGGTGCAGGGGGGGAGGAGGACGGAGAGCAGGCTCGGGTTTCTGGCTGGGCACTCGGTGGAAGCTAGGATTCTAACTGCCCCTGAGTGGGCTGCCTCCTGGGGCGAGGCTCTGGCATGGCAGGGATCCTGGCTACGTGATTGGCTTCAGTCCAACTTGCTGCCTGTTGAAGTTACTCGTCTGAGGCCACACAGCCAGCTGGCCAGTGAAGAGCTGTGGTTTCAATCCAGGTCTGTAGGGCAACTGTCCATTCTGCCACACCCACAGGGCCAGACGCTTCTCCCTTCCTAGAACCTTCCTGCCACCCACGCTGCACCTGCCTTTCCCAGGTGCCCAGCCTAGGGCTACTCCCTATTGACCTCTGAGAGCCACCAGCCCAGGTGGCTGCTCGATGCCACCTTCCTGGTGAAACCATCCCTCACCCATCGTTCCTGCTGAAAGTGGGCACAACCCACCTGGCACAGAACCCGGTGTCATTTGACATGCTCCTCACATGGCCTTGTCCTGTGGGCACAGTCCAGCCCCCTGTGGCAGGACTCTGTCCTTTATACCCCACCCCTGCTATGGAAGCCCAGCCTTTAGGCTCTCCAGTAAAACTCACACCTATTGAACTGGGTGGAGTAGTGCCCCTCCAAATCCATGCCCACTCTGAACCTCCTCACCCTTGTTAGGAATGTGATTAGCCCGATGAGGTCACACTGAAGTGGGGTGGGGCCCAATCACTAGCATCATCATAAGAAAACAGAGAGACATTAGGAGAACACCACGTGATAAGAGGCAGACCTGGAGGGACACGTCTGCCAGCCAAGGAACCAGGATCCCCTGCCACCAGGACACAGGAAGAGGCAAAGGGGGACCCTCCCTCAGAGTTTTCAGAGGGGATACAGCCCTGGGCACATCTCGATTTCAGACTCCAGCCTCCAGAGCTATAAGGGAATACGTTTCTATTATTCTAAGCCACCCAGTTTGTGGGGCTTTGTTATGGCAGCCCTAGGAAACTACAACACACACACTCACAGTGTAGCGGTGAAGTCTTGCACAATAAACGTTTGATGAATTAATGAGCATATGAGATCAGAGGGTGTTAATACACACAAAACAACCAGGCTGCCAAGATCGAGATGTACTGATACATTCCAAAAGTTGGCACTATCCTCAGACCCTAACCAAAGTCGACAGCTGCTTAATAGTTCAATGGCACATGCACAGGGAAAAAGCAATCAATATTAAAAAAAAAAAAAATCATGAGTTGTACAAAGCATTTGAGGAAGGCTGGGGTTTGAGCCATGGTCCTCTTGTCTGTGAAGAAAAGCAAAATAATACTGGCCATATCCATCCCAGTTTTTAGAGCACAGGACTGAGTCACAGAACCAATCTGGAACAGGTTTAAGATCATGCAGCCAATGAAAAGAAAAGCTAAGAGACACATGAGTTCCAGACTCCATGCGGCAACCTCCCCTCCAGGTTGAGGAGAGAGAGGAGCTGAGAGAGGTAACCTGCTGGATCTCTGAGGCTGGACCCTACCCCATACACTCACGTCCTCTCACTCTTCTCTGCGCTTTAGGACCCAAGACTTCAGGAATTGAGCTGGTGCAGGTGTGACCCTACCACAGTTTGGGTCTAAAATGTCCCCTGTGGGCCCATGTGTTAAAGGCTAGATCCAGCCTCTGACATTATTGGGCAGTGGATCCTTTAAGAGGTGGGGCTTAATAGGAGGAAGTTGTGTCATGGGAGCATGGCTTGAAGGAGACACTGGGACCCTGGGCTTCTTCTCTTTCTTGGCTTCCTGGCTGCCATGAAGTGAGTGGCTTCTTCCACTGTGCATTCCTGCCATGATGTACTGACCTGTCACTGGCCCAAAACCAACTGGGCCACTTGACCATAGACTGAAACTTCCAAAACTGTGAGCTGAAACCCTTTCCTCTTTATAAGGTGATATTTCAGGCATTTTGTCCCAGGGAGAGAAAGCTGACCAGCACAGACACAGGGCACAGATCTTCCCAGGAGTGTCTCTGGCTAAGGGAGAAAGGATGACTGCCCAGTGGAACAACCCAGAAGGTAGGCAGCAGGGAGTGGAGGTAATTAGGAAAATGGGAGTTGAACATGGAGACAGTTGAACATGGGCCCAGGTCCTGGTTCTGTTACAGGGGGGTAAGAAGCCCTTTCTCATGCAGTTGTGGCAGGAGTGCGGACTCCATGACACGCCGGATGTTGAAGCCTTCGGAAGCTTGAAGGGCAAGGCCAGCCCTGACCAATAAATGTCCTTTTCATAGTGCTTCTGTTATAAGATCACTGCGTCGTGCTATTCTGAGGTGCCCCTGAGATCACCCTGACAGCCTTGGGCAGCTCACCCAGGGGAGGTAGATCCCAAACTGCCCAAACAGGAGGGTAGATGGACACGGATGGAAACACAGGTAGGGCTAGTGAGGGCCTTGGCAGAGGTGACCTGGAAGAAGCTGGTCAGTGAAGGTGGGCACTCATTTCCATATCTGGTCCCATCCTCAGGCCACACTGGCCAGACTCAGAAGAGCCTAGAGGTTGGCCAGAGCCTCTTGGGGCTTGGTCCTCTGGTACCCTGAGCTCTTTGGACCGCAGCTGCTGTCTAGCAGTGCATTCCCAGGATCTGCTCTTCTCAGGAACCGGGGGCCTGCTTTCAGTCCTCTTCCTTTGTCCCCTCAGTCCCCTCCCCCAGGATCATTCAGGCTTGTCCTGGAGGAGGGCCCCAAGTCTCTACCTCCTACATGGGTCCTTGGCTTCTCTCCTGCCTCTTTAAAGTCTCCCTGGTCTCTGCTCCCCCCGCCTCCAGCCCGCTGTGTACACTGCTGCCTGATTCATCTCTCCAAATCCTGAAAACAGCCAAGTGCACTCAGAGGCCGTGGAAGCCCCTGGCAGCACCGGGCCACAGCCCGTGGGAGACCCCGCACAAGGCTGGCATCTGAATCTTCTGGGCAGGCTGGTGGGGGATGTTTCAAACACACACTCCCCTCCTCCTCAGCAAACTCTGCTCCTCATGATGTCCCCAGACGTTGGCTAAATCCTTTCCTTTCTCAGAGTTCCTTCCCCTTGAGCCCTGAGGTCACCTTCATGCCCACAGCTCTGACTCCTCAGGCTCCTTGGGCAGGGAGATGGCTGTGCAGTGCCCTTGTTGGAGTGTCCATGAGCCCCTGCCTTCCCCCCGTACAGTCACCCCCCTCAGACTGTGGTCCCCAACATGGACAGGTGATGTGTACATCGGGGCTCCCTCTCTCTGTGGCTTCGTGCCTCACGCAGCCCTGGTTGGGATTCTAAGAATGACAGTCCTTCTGGGCAGTAGGAAGCCCTGGCGGATCAGTTGCTCCCTGTGGTGTCCATGTGAGCTCTGTCACTTCTCAATGCTTACGCTGTCCCCTGTCATATCCTCTCCGTATCCTCTCCATCAGCCAAGCAGGCCACAGTGAGGAGGAGGCTGGGCAGGGAGGAGGACCCCGCCCTGCTCAGGGCCTATCCACCAGCCTGCCCACACGTCCCTCTGCAGTCCTGCCCTGCCTGGCTGTCGGGAGATGCTCCCTAAGTGCATCTTCCCACCAGATGAGGACCAGGGACTGAGCCTTCGGGAGACGCACCAGGGTTGTCCTGGGGGCCAGGCAACAGAGAAGGAAGCAAACCCTCCTCCAATCCCTGGGTCCTGTGGGGGGGGACCTGTGAATGCTGGAATTGGGGGAACGACCTGCCCAGAACAAAGACGACCTGGGCTGAAGCCGCAGTACAGTGATGGACACCGACCCCAGATCCTCACTGACCCCACCCTGATGGAGGGTGGAGCCTTTCCACTGAGTACTCTGCCCTGGGCTCCCGGAGTCACCAGCACTGGAGCTGGAGCACCTGTCCCTGTGCACTTTGTTCCCGTGCCCTTGTCACTCAGGCATCTCTCTACAGCACAGGGTCCACCAGTCCTATTCAGAGCCAGGGAGACTTGAGCTCTGAAAGGTGCAGGGACCGCCCTGGCAGTGGTCTTCTGAGTCTCAGGGGCAAAGCAGGTGTCATTTCCACAGCGTGCCCTCCACCCCACGGCAGCAGAGTCAGATGCGGCAGGGCCACACACCCTGCCCGGGGATCTCCTCCCCGTCCACACATCTGAGCCTCCATGGAGTGGGACCACTAGTTCACACGTGGCGCTGTTCACAGGGATGCCAACCCCTCCAACAGATCCCTATTAACTAGAGGCCCAAGTCCCGGCCTCAGAGCCTGGATTCCATTCCACATCCCCTTAAAAATGTGTGTTCAGTTGGACTCTCTGCTCTCCTAGATGGCATTTTTTTTTCTTGAAAAAGAAGCTCCCAGATATTTCTGCTTAAAAATCTTGTTTTTGTGAATCAAGAGATGTAATTTTTAGCCATAACTGGGCCACAGGCTTGGCATTTGACTTGGGCAAATGATTTTTCCTCAAAGGGGCCTTAGAGTCCTCCACTGTAAAACAGGACTGGATCATTTCTGAGATCTGTTTCCACTGTGATTTTAGAAAACTTTGATTCTAGCAAATAACCATCTGAAGGAGCCTGGGAAGTCTGCCTCCAGGCAGTGCCCAGTCCTCCCCTCCCTGTGTGGCTCCCCCTCTGGTTATCTTTCTCCCTACTTGATGCCTCCTCTCTCAGATAATCTTAAATTCTCTAATTCTTTGAAATCCACACCCAGATTTCAACAGACCTAATCAATGCTGCCAAAGCAAAGCAGAAAACATAAAGCCCCGTTGTGAATATCTGCAAAAGACAAACTGCAGACCAAACTCATAGAAAACCGCATAACAAAGAGAGAGAATGAAAAACATTTGAGCCGAACTCAAGAATAATGTAATTAAGCTCATATTTGAAAATGCACATATCTGAGTCACTTGCGGAATCTGAGCCAGAAAGGGGCAAAAGGCAGGCATAGGTATGGCATGCGTGCGCACATGTGTGTCACTGTGAGTACACCTGTGGGCGTGCACGTGTGTGTCCATGTGTCACACGTACATGTGTGTGTATAGGTGCATGTGTAGGGTTCGTGTACACATGTGTGTGTGAGTGTTTGTATGTGTGTTTAAAGACCTTTAGGAGGAACTGAGGTCACTCCAGACAGAAGTAGGAAATGCCTGGGAGCTTAGGTGGTACAGCATCCACCATCCAAAGCCAGCGTGAAAGACAATTACACCAGATAAACCAAATACAAGACTTTCTAAAAACAACGACTGGGTACCTGGCAACAGTGAGAGAGGGACATGGGAAAGGGTGGACACAGCAGAGGAAGGGTGACACTGAGAGCTGGAGGGGCCCAGTGGTGTCCAGTGGTGAAGAGCCAGGCACCCCAGGGCTGTGGTCTGAATGTCGTGTGCCCCCTCCCCAATCCATGTGTTGAGCCCTAATCACCGAGGTGGTGGCTCAGGAGTGTCTAGGTCACGGGGTGAAGCTCTTCTGAGTGACACTATAAAAGAAGCCCCAGAGAGTGGCCTCAGCACTCCAGCCGCCATTGCTGCCTGCAGCTGTGGAGCAGGATGGGTTTCTGAGCCTCACAGACCCATGTTTAGACCTTGACTTTGCCACTTGCCAACTGCATAAGAAGCAGTGGGAATGTTATTCGGGTTTCTTATCTACAGAGGGAGAAAGGTAAGACTTCTCCCAGGATGTGAGACTTAGCGATCTTGAGCATCTATTAGGGGAATGAACGTCTGTAAAGTGCCTCGTTCATCATAGGTCATAATGCAGTGTGGCTACTGTTATTAGGAGGTGCCTATGTGGACTTCTACAGAAAGGGGAGGTCAAGAAACAGAGAAGATCAGAAAAGCAGGGGCATGAATTTGAAAGAAGAAATTCTATAGCTTACCTTCCTTTGACCCTGAGCTCAAAGTGATCAGGAACAGATGACAGATGGAGCAGGGGAGCCTCTGATTGCCTGGCCTCGAGATCCAATGGTTGTTGAGTGTTCACTGAGCCCCACTTCTGTGTATGCATTGTTAGGGTTGGGGACACAGAAGCATACCGACGGACTGAGGGCAGCAGAATGCACTCTGGGTGCTGGGACTAAAACTCTTGGACATTGAATTGCACACTTATTTACAAGGAGTGAATTCTGTGGCATGCAAATTATATCTTATTAAAGCTGTTGAAATAAAAAAAAAAAAAATCCTAGTTTGGATCATTACCAGCCACGTGGCCCTGAGTAATCAGGCACTTCTGCCTGAGCCTTGGTTGTTTTGAGCCAAAATCCTACCCCTCCTTCATCAAGACACCCGCCTGAAACCAGCCTCACAGTTTGTCTTGTCACTTCAAAATTTAAAAATGCACAAGAGAGCAAAGGACTTTACAAATGGAAGGCTCCAAGATAAAACTCGCTGTTCTGAGTGTGGAAGCTCAGAGACAGGGGAGAGCTCATGAGCAGTCCTTGGAGGAGGTGCCTGGGTGCCTGCAGATAGCTGTTTGTGCTCCCCATATGGAGGTGGAAGGCAGGCAGGACAGAGGGGAATGTGACAGAGAACACATTGGTGCCAGAATCAGAATGGCCAGGTTCAAATCCCACTCCATCCTCTCCCTCCCTGTCCTATAACCCAGACTAGCTATTTAAGCTTCCCTCAGCAATCCAATGGGGACCATGATGCTTCCTCGGACAGGTGCTGGTTTGAAAGATGCCCGATGAGATACACTGGGTGCAGTACCCAACCAACAGTAGGTAATCAGTATGGCATTGTTGGTGCTGACTGGCAGGCTAAGGGGAGTCTAATGACTCTTTCAGCCCTTGGGGAGCTGTGGGGTGTGAGCACTGGGCAACATGGCATGAAAGGCACCTCTGACAGCATGTGCTTCAGGAAGGAATTGGGGAAGGAAGGGTTGGGGAGGGGCTGATTAGCCAGAAGTGAAGAGTGGGAAGTCGGGACCCTGGGCTCTGGGTCCCAGAGCAGGAGGTTAATGGAGGCCCTACACATTTTTGCTGTTGCATTTGAGTTACAAATGAAACTAATTAATGGTTAAATGAAATATGTTTTCACCTGTACGAATACACCTTCTAACCGCCTAGAAGGCTTAGTTTGGAATTTTCCACTCCTTGCAACTTCACCATTGCCCTACGTGAACCTGAGGTTGCAGCCAGATCTTCTTCTTCAGGCAGCCCCGAGACCTGGAGCTACACAGCCACCGGGTCCAAGCTCTAGCTACCCAGACCCAGGTTAGTCCCCCTTGGCCATTCTCCTGCCTACAGATGTAGAGGCTGAGTCCACTCTGTCCTAGGTAGGTTTACCCAGGGGAGAGACCTGGGCAAGGCCTTGGAAGTAGGCATGGTTAGATCATTCCCACAGAAAATTCCAGAGTCTCACAGGGCAAGACTTAAAAGAAGGAGTTGAGCTTGGACTGAGGAATGCACTGGGGGCCCTTGGGGAGCGACGTGCAGGAGGGAGGCCTGAGGGGGGGACCCCAGGAGGCTCTGTGGGCTGGGGGGGGGGGGGGTCAGAGGGTACCTTTGGCGAGGGAGATGTTTCTCAGCGCGATGGAGTGCTCCCAGTCCTTGAGGCGCAGGTCCTCGGTCACCGCGTTGAGCGTGGCCAGCTCCTGTTTGAGCTGCAGCTCCAGGTCCATGTGCACCAGCCGCATGCGGCGCGTGTCCTCGCTGGCGTTGCTCACCAGGACCTGCAGGTCCTGCAGCCGCGTGTGGTGGAGCGCCACGTCGTAGGACAGGCTGTGATTGAGGCCACGCACCGCGCCGCCCATGTCGGCCAGCTCTTCGCCCAGGACGCCCACCCTTCGGGCCAGTCCGTCCAGCAGGCCCGCGTGGCGCCGCAGCAGCAGCTGGCTGCGGTTGCTCTCCACCTGCAGCTGGTACAGCTCCAGCTGCGCCGCGTCGCTCTGCTGGCCCGTGCGGTCCCGTAGCAGGGCCACCGCCTGCTCCGTCTGAGCCGCCTGCGCGTGCAGGCCCCACAGCGCGCCCTCCAGCCTCTGCACCGCGCCCGCCAGCGCCAGCAGCGAGTCCGAGTGGTTCTGCAGCGCGTCCTGCACCTTCCACACCTGCTCCGTCAGGTCCGCCTGCAGCGGAGCCTGCAGCAGCCGCAACTGCAAGTCCCGGAAGGTCTCATTCAGCCGGTTCACATTGCGAGTCAGCGCCTTCAGGTCGTCCGGGGAGCTGCGGGGCCTGGACACTGCGGAGGAGGAGAGGAGAGGTGAGCGCTGCTGGGGAAGAGGGTTCAGGCGACAGGAGGCAAGCCTGGCATGCCGCCGTAGATGCTCGCTCAGTAAGAGACAGGAGACGGAAAAGCGGAGCGCTGGGCTAACGAAGCTCAATGATCCCAAACGAGCTCACACCTTAGAATCACCTAGCTAGGTGTCCCAACTGCAGAGATGGGGATTTAATTGGTCTGGGACGTGACCTGGGCTCTGAAACTTTAAAGGATCTTGAGTAGCTTAGAGGTGCAGGTGAACTGCCCCGCTGAGCTAAACATCCTGCGTCAAGAAGACCCATAAGAAACTGCTGTTGTGCATTGAAAAGTGGTTGTGTAAGAGCAGTTTTGTGCAGTTCCATTTAATATTGGGCGTTGTGATCCCCTTAACTTTAGGAGGCAGAAATCTCCAAAGGTGTGATCCCCACCCTGCCCCGCCCCCAAATCACTTAATTGCCAAAGTGATAATATTAAGAGGTGGGGTCTTGAGCAGGCAGCTAAGCCCTGCAGTCAGAGCCCTCAGGAAAGAGATTATGACCTTGTAAAAGAGGTGCAAGGGAACTGTTTGCTGTTTCTGCCATGTAGGGACACACGGGGAGGTGTCATCTATGACACCTGGTGAAACAGGGCCTCACCAGACCCTGAATCTACTGGTGCCCTGACCTTGTATTTCCCAGCTTCCAGGTCTGTGAGCACCACATTTCTGTTGTTTGTAAAGTACCCACGCTAAGGCAGCAGCCTAAAGTGGACCGAGCCAGTGCACTTATCTCTTTCACTGTGAGACCAGTGAAGGCTGTGCACAGAAATAAAGCAAAATCCTAACCCAGAGGGTCTCTCTGGAGCCTGGGCCTCCTTAGTTCAAGGTCCCATTTCCTCCTGCTGCAGCAATGGCCCCTCTGGGCCAGGGAAACCTGCTCTTCGATCTCTATACTGTCCCTCTCTGCCTCCTCCGTCCTTCCTCTAGGTGTCCTCTTCCTCTTGTTGGCAAACAAGCCATCCTGGGGACTCCTCATCCTTTCCTTGGGGTCCCTTTTCTTGGTTATAAACAGCTCTTTGGTGATACGGAGAGAAGGGACCTTATTGCTAGACTCTGGCATCTCTGTGTCTCTTGGGGGTTCATGGACTACACTGAGCCAGGTGTGCTGCTGCCTGGGGTGTCTAGATATGCTTGTCTCCCCGCTCTGCTCTGCACGGGAGGAAAAGGAAACCAGGAGCAGGGGAGGGACAGAGTAGGAGGTGGGAGAAGATGAGGCACAAGGAGAATTCTGCCTTGTAAATCTTGGAAATGAGAGAACCCTGAACTTGATACAAATCTTGTTCAAACAATGAGAAAGTTCAAAGTAAGTTCCCTTCCAGAACTTCACACTGGGAAGGGGGAAGTAGGTGCGAGGTTTCTTGGACCACGTGCACATATGCTACTGCAATCCTTCAGTGATGCTTCTGGAAGCACACTGTGTGGTGGCCACCCTGGAGGAGATATGTCACCTCAGATTAAGTTCAGAGGTGCAGAAGGCTGGAGAAGTTGGAGTCTGTCTCAAATTCCCCCCAGCCCAGCACTTTCACCCAAGAAGGTCAGAGAGCCAAGTGGTCACCCAACCTTTGCTTATACTCATCTCTTGACTTTCAGCTAGTTCTCTTAGAACATTTTGCATTCTGTTCAGACTTGATTTTTTGCCTCCCTGGAGTTACTATCCACTGATCCTGCTCTTTGGTGGAGTATAGGACTGGGGAAAATTTTTAATTTTCTCACCAGACAGCGCTTTAGGATTTCAAAGATACTTGTATCCTTGCTACGTGGTAACTTTTCTGGTTTAAAGTCTGTAGTTCCTTTATTCTTTCAAGTCTAGTTCTAGCCTCCAAACATCCGGGCTGCCCTCTTCTATACACAGATTAGTTTGTTGGCATCCCCTAGAAGGTGCTTCTCGATCAAGAGGTGGTTCTCCAAGATGTCAACAGACTGGCAGAAAGATCTTCCCTCTCCTTCTGTCAGGAGACTTCCATGAGATGCCCACTGGGCCCTGGTCAGCTTCATCAGGGCTTGCAGAGAAGCCACGGGGAGGAGCTATGCAGCCTCTAGTGAACTGGACATTTCTCCATTTTACAGAAGAACAGATTGACTGAGGCCAGGAGGTGTGAGTGACCCACCTAAGGCACACCTCCTGGCCTTGCTCCTGGGGCTCACACCACTGCCCTCCTCTGGAAGTTTCACTAAGGAATCGCCAATTCAAGGAAAGCTTCCAGAGAAGATGAATCCATGACCCCACCACAGCCAGATGACCTCAGGAATCCTCTGCTGAAGAATTCACCTCAGGCCAGGATTCCATTCTACAATCAGTGTGTCTGCACCGTGTCCACCCACACTGGGGACACATACTGTGCAGGCTGGTGGAGAGCAGACAGCCTGCTCTCTACCTGCCAGTCCTGCTCGGGATGCCCCAGAGCTCAGAGGCCCGTGGCAGCACATCACAAGTGGGGAAGAGGCTCTGAGTTGGGCCCATTCTGGTTCTGAACTGGCACTGTGAGTGGCTAAGAAGAGCAGAGCCAGCTGCCCTGGTGGAAACCAGAGCTCCCTGGGTGGACTTGGGCCACTTTTGCCTAGAGAACAGCCCATGAGGTGGGCTACTCCCTTCCCTCCTGCTGTACCCCAGCCCCCACTCACCCCTCCCTCCCCCTCAGGAGGTCCCTGGGCCACCTGGTTCTCTGAGCCCTTGGAGGCCCCAGGCCCTGCCCAGCAGCCAGCTCCTCTCAGCACCAGCAGCCCTGGGTCCTCCTCCCTGTCCAGGAGCCTGCACTCAACCTGTCCATATGGGCACAGCTGAGGATCAGTGCCCCTGCCCAGAGAGCCCCTGAGGGTCCTCCATTGTTGGCTGTACATTCCACAGCCAATATTGACATCAACTCAAACAAAAGAAAGGAAACTTCTCCAACAGCCCACAACCTCCAGCAGAGCACACTGGTTTTCTTTCTCTAGCTCCATCCATTTGCAGGCTCAGGCTTTTCAGTTTGATTCTGGGTGTTTTTTTCCCCACCTAATGTTATAATTATTTCACAAGTGTTTTCCACTCTTCTCTCTGTCTTTTGTGTAATTATGATTTTGCATAAGAGTCCCTGAAGGGAACACACTGTAATTTGCCCATTTTATTTCTGGGTAATCTTTTTTTTTTTTCAATCATGGTAAATAAATGCTAAAATGTTTTCTCTTTTTTTAAAAAAATTTTCCTAGCAATAAATCCCCAGAAATTGGTCAAAAGGCATGGATATTTTTATGACTTAAAAATCACAGCTAAATGACTTCCCCAAATTATATGAATTGATATGTATATTTTAGACTTTTAATTGTGTCAATTTCATTGCACAGTGTATTACAATTTTCAAATTGTTCATTTCATAGATATAAAATGGGACCTTGTTGTTAGTACGAATTGAATTTCAGAAGTGATCTTGTCAAGGCGATGCCTTCCCTCCTAGGAATGATGCACACAGTTTAGGAGCCAAGGCTAATGGGAACATCATCTAGGAGGTGAATACCCTTTGGGCATCTGCTCGTGCTGTCTAAGCCTGGCCTGGCCTCACACTCCAGAGTGAATTATCTCCTTCCAACAGTCACCGTGTGTTCTCTGCTCACACTCCACCACCACCCACCCTCTTCCCCCCGTAATTCCTTCCAGATGTTTGCTGTCCTCAACAGAGAACAATTCTTACTTGAGTGTGACTCTTTTAATTCGTGTTTATGCAAACAGTTCATTTATCTCTGTGCCTGGTGTATCTACTTTTAATGTGTTTTAAATATTCTTCAACTTTTATACTTTCACAAACAGGAAAATCAATCATCGACTACAATAATAGCTGGCATTTCCGGATCATTTACTGTATGCCAAGCACTGTTCTCAGGGCTTTCCACATTAGCACACTACCTCTCCAAACTACCCTGGGAGATAGGTATGAAGCCCCCGAGTATGTTTAGCATCCTCTATTCCAAACAAGGACATTGAAGCATGCAGAGGTTAAGTAACTCACTAAGCCACATGGCTAGGAGAGACAGGGGAGACTGACTTAGGGTCCTGGAAGTTCAGTTCCAGAATCCCCAGCCTGAATGTCTTTGCCATACTCCTGAAAACATGGAGAGTAGAGAAGACTTGGTACCAGTCAGAGACTCATATGTGGAACGTGTTTTGAAGGTAGTGAGCTCCCCGCTCATATGCCCAGGCTGGACTCTGGCTGCTTGGCAGGAATCACATAGAGATTCAATTTCAGTTTCTGGCTCAGTTTTAATTGCTGGATCCTAATGATATATGATCAGTGTCTGAATGACTACCTCAGGCCTCTGCTGGGCTAGGAGGCTTGCGCATGCATGTCTCCTGCAGTCTTCTTGCTGGCTCTGCCTCGCTTTGCTGTCCACACCCCAACCCTCTGTCTGCCCCCTCTTCACAATTGTCCTTCGTGTTCATAAAAAGTCATCTTCAGGCTAAGTCAGGGGGCTCCAGATGTGAGATGACCAGCCCGCTGTTTTCCCCAAACACACCAGGCACACCTATCATTCCAGCTAGGCACGTCTGTCTGGGGTGGGAAGAAGGCCAAGCTTTCCCTCTGATGTTTAGTGACTTAACCTTGGGCACTGGTGTTAACAACCCTGGGTCACTGTATAGAACTCCACATCCATTTAATTCCAACCTAACTACTCTCGGAAAATAGGGAGGGAGAAGATTCAAAATCTCATTTAAGGACCAGAAAATGGAGGCCCACAACAATAAGAGGTTGCCTGAAGCGTAAAATAAGGACGGATTTAGGCCATCTGTCCCATATTCTAGTGCTCTGTCCTTTGAACCTGCGGCAGAGGGAGTCAGTCACGTGTATGCTGAACTCCAGCAGGGAAAGCAGGAAAGGAGATTCTATTAAGCATCTACTGTATGCCAAACTGAGTCCCTATTTCTTAAAAGAAGTTGCTTCCTTTATCCTTCCTAACAACCTCAGGAAGTAGAAAT